TGGAGAGGACTGCGGGGACCTGTGTGCGTGGAGAGGACTGAGGGGACCTGTCTGCGTGGAGAGGACTGCGGGGACCTGTCTGCGTGGGGGACTGCAGGGACCTGTCTGCGTGGGGGACTGCAGGGACCTGTCTGCGTGGAGAACACTGCTCAAGCGCCGCACAACTCTCCCTTCTGGCTCTATGTTAAACTCTGGGAAGGTTCAAGAAGGGTCAGGAATCCTGTCACAGGAACAACCACCTCCCTGATGGTCACTTCTTTTTGCGGATAAATGACTCCAGAAACATTAAGTCGCCTGGTGAAGGTCTCACACCACTGAAACTGAGAGGAGAACTCCCTACCTTATAAAAGAAGTATTGCACAAGCTCAGATATCCTGATATAATAAAAATGCCCGTGAACAAGAAGCATCTTCTTCAAGTGCTTAAACTTGGGTATTGCGTAGTCGCTGTTCCTTGCAGCCTGGCGACCCTCCTTCCCGATGACGCCTAGAACGAAGGGTGAAGATGCCTGTCACCAGAGCCAGCTAAGCCCAGGGGACCCCTGCCCTGTGTCCCCCTGCAAAAGCACAAGTCACAGGTAGAGACCCAAGGTCCCTCTGCGTGCTATGACACAGCCTTTGTCTAGCTACAGTGCAAATCCCAACTGGAGCAGCAAGGGCTTACCTATGCCCACGTGCGCCTCCAGGATCATACTGACATCATTTGCACCATCACCGATCGCTAAGGTAATAGGGTGCTCTTTTGAAAATTTGATTAACTTAACAATCTGGAAAAGAAAAGAAAAAAACGTGGAGTTTATCTTCTCTGTTTGGATTTCGTTAGGGTTATTGACTGGGCAGAAGCAACGACATAGAGCTGGTGTAGGTCACAGGATATTATCTGCTTACAGCTCATTTACAGCTCTCACACTATTTCCTCCATACGGGATCACATCGCCTCGTAACAACTAAGGTGTGATCAATGACATGACTTCACCAAGGCAGGAGGACAAAATTAGAGTCATGTTCAGGTATTGGAAAAGCCCGGGACCAATGCCAGCACTGCAGTCTGCAAGAAGGTGCCATAATTCCATGCTACTTGATATCAAACAATTTTTAAAGAAGCTGTTTCTAATGCTATTTTAATTTTCAAACCTGTCATGTGTAAAAATCAAATATGTCAACTAATACAATAAGTACTCTTCAAGATTTCTTTCTCAATTTCCAAGTCCATTTTCTTATAGACCTCCCTGCATGCACTGTGCTTATGGACAAATGCACTTCCCCATGCACTGTGTTTATGGACAATGCACTCCCCCATGCACTGTGCTTAAGGACAATGCACTTGCCCATGCACTGTGCTTAAGAACAATGACTTCCCCATGCACTGTGTTTATGGACAATGCATTCCCCCATGCACTGTGCTTAAGGACAATACATTAGGGTATGAGACAGAAGAAGGGAAACTATAGATTGCTTTCTTGTTTCAAGACAAGGAATGGAAGTATACATGCATTTGTATAAATCAATTGAGAAGCCCAAAATAGCAGTGGAAACCTCAGGGAAACAGTTACAGAAAGTTTACATGGAGTCAAGCACAGAAGAGGGGAGCCATTGCCTGCCTTCTCTAAGAACTTCCCAGGCACATTCTGGTTGTCTCTAGTGACAGAGGCTAATTGGAGTATTGAATTCCAAAGAGCACCTTCCTGAACCTGGCTCTGTGCATATGCACTCAACCTTTATGGCTGGGTCACCTGAGAGGACCCGATTTCCTTATAAGCAGTTCAAGGAGGCATTCTGCACCTGAAGCATGCTACTGTGAAGCTGCATCTCATTCAGTTTATGGACACTGGAAAGACCCCAGGTTCATGTATGCATTCCACAGTACACTTGACGTACTTAAAAAGAGAATTTGGGCACGCTCCCACAAGAGCAAGGAGAGTGCAGGGGACTGTCTGGAGTCCAAAGGAGGAGAGTCAAGTCCTGACAGCCACTGGCACCCTGAAGGTGCTCGGTGAAGGCAAATTCCCTTTCCCACACCCTTGGGGTAGACTCCCAAGGCACTATAGCACCTCTCTAGGAGGGTCCATCCATGTCCGACCCTCAAGGAGAATCTAAGACTCCGGTTTGAAATTTCTATGCCTCCCTAATTGTTTAGCAATCAGAGCCAGTGAGACTTAAGCTAAGGCTTTCTCCACATGCCGACCCCCCATGGCCCACTACTGGGCAGTCCATGACCTGGGCCTTCTGCAAGGGTGCCATCCGGCAGCACAGCACTGCACTGCAGTTCCTGCAGATCTCCAGGAAGAGTTCTCTGTAGTTGCCTGAGGAGCTCCCGTCCTCTCGGGGCTTCATTATCAAGGACAGCGCAGCTCCATCGATGATCAGGCCATAGTCATGCATATCTGTCGAAAGGCTGTCAGAGCACACAGAAGGGAGGGAAGGTCACTCGTCACCACTCTAGTTTAGGACACCAGACACCGGGCATCTGCGTGGCACCAGTCCGTGGATCAGACACACACAGTCCTCCTTTCGTCCCTACGGTCGTCACAGAACGGGAGCCACCTCTTTGAGTAGACTGTGGAGTCACATTGTAATGAAAAGTCCTTGTGAGTTTGTGTGTCAGTCTCATACTGAGACTCCACAAGGCGGGCTTGGGAGGGCAGATCTTCATTTCTGGTCTCCATGCCGCCTCCCTCTACCTGTATGGCTAATTCATCCTGGGCTTTCTGCCCTGGTGGCGTCACTATGAGAACACGGTCAAAGTCCCCCTTGGCTGGGCTATAAAGATTCGCTTTTTTATCACTTTAAATCATGCGTGACCTGTGTGTAGGTATGGGCACACACCTGCCAACACCAGCGGAGTCCGACCTCCCAGGAGCCACCTGTGCTGGTGCTGGGAATCAAACGTGCACTCTCTGCAAGAGCAAGTCACGTCCTAACCACTGAGCTATCTCTCCAGGTCCCTTTGCTAGGCCCTAAAATGACAAAAACATCCACAGCCCCTAAATTCTGCTCCTTTTTTTTTTTTTTTTTTTTTTGCGCCTTTCCTGGATCTCACTCTGTAGACCAGGCTGGCCTCGAACTCACAGAGATCCGCCTGCCTCTGCCTCCCGAGTGCTGGGATTAAAGGCGTGCGCCACCACCGCCTGGCAACTTTGTGCTCTTCTTAAAACAGTCTAAAATCTGCACACGCCTAGAGGGCTGACTTGTTCTGCCAAATTCATATGATTGAGACGGTTCAGTAACGGCTCTGCTCTGCCTGAGTTTAACCCCCAGAATCTAAACGATGGAAGAAGGGAACTTATCCTCTGATCTCCAAATGTACGCCATGGCACACGCATGCTGACACCCACACAAATAGACCCATGAAACAATGACTCTGAATCAGAATCGAAGGAGACTGTCTTCAGATGACTGCCAACACTGGTACGGGAGGCCCTTGTGAAATGTTCTTGGAAAGACCCAACTTCAGCCACACTGATGTGTCACACGGCCTCCATTATTACTCACTACCGTCTGACTTCTCCGGCAGCATGCCGAGGCATCCACGATGGACCCGCAAGGCGAAACAGCAGATACAAATTTCACCAGTGAAAACATCTTTCTCTGTTCTCTACCCATCAGCTGCCTACCCCGAGAAGGAGTCCCTGGCCAGGCTCCCGCTGCAGCGCAGCACCGTCTTGCTCAGTTCGAAGAGAACATCGTGCAGGCTTTGCTCCTCCAGCCGTTTGGTGGTCAGCTCCAGCAGCTGCGTGCTCCTGCGGAAGAGCTTGCAGGCGTAGCAGGTGGCTGAGGCCGTCTCCATCTTGTCCCCGGTGAGCACCCAGACCTTGATGCCCGCCTTCTGCAGCGCCTCGATTGTGTCGGCGGCTTTCTCCTGGAGCCTGGGAAAGGAGAACCCAGATGGTGGGGGTCAGGATCCAAAGGCCACCAGATCAAGAACTTCAAAACACACGAAGCCATCAAAATATCCAGGCCTATAAAACAGCACATGCAAGTGGCTGTGGGTCTATGTAAAGGACCGGGCCTGCTCCCAGAGTGCACACCTTACGATGATGTAAGGCTGCAAGGCTCCTCCACACACACATACACGGAGAGCTATTTAAGGAGGCTGTTCTGTGCCGTGTCCTTTGGCTGAGCCTCACATCCGTCCACAATCCGGTTCCATTCCACTTAGGAGAAGAATCATTAAAACCAGAAACAAAACGGGAAAATGGGGTCTAGGAAAAAGGTAATATCTTTTCTTTTGTTACCATGGGTTCTAAGGCTGCTGCTACTTATCAAACTGGAGTCCAGGTTCTAAGTAACACATCAGACGCTGGTAATAATGCACTAGCATCACCCCAGAGCTAGCTAATGTTTACCCCTGGCTTAGCATGTGCCAGCCCTGTGTGAGATCCGGTATGACCTTTCACCTCCACATAACCCTGCGGAGTCAGACGAGTCCCCTGGGAGGATGCTCCTGGCCTGAAGTGTGGAGATGCCATCATCACAGCTGCACAGATGAGGAAAACCACTTCCAATCTCCTCATTTTTCTGAAACAGTAATAAGGGACCCAGGGCCTAGAGAGGTAAGTGTACCGATGTGCTGGCTCTGGGTTTTAAAGAAGTAACTTGGGATCAAACGTCACTTCAATGGGACATCATATCTGTAATCCCAGGAGGGTGCATGTTCTATGTCACCTGGGCTACACAGCGAAACGCTGTCTAGAAAAAAAAAATGGTTTTACTGTCCCTCATTCCTACGTGCTCCTGGTGCCCATGTCCCATGGCCTAACTCCAGCTGCCAGCTGCCCGCAAGGCCGTCATGCCAATCCACTCCGAAGCCCCTCCCTGGAGCAGCCCCCCTTTCTGCACCAGCACCCCAGGCCGCTGCAATGGTGCCTGGCCTTCTCTCCTAATTTTACCAGCTATATAGCCACAGGTGTTGACAACAGTCCACTCCACTATGTTAACTTTCTTCAACAAACAATGACAAATATATTGAAGACATTAAAATCTAGGCAGTCAAGCTGTGTTCAGAAGAGCCAGCAGCAATTAGGAAAATAACTACAAATTCCTTTCTAAGGAGTGAAAAGAAACTGGATCTTCCATGTGTACCGTGATTTAAGATGTTCCTTTCACTATCTGGAGGGAAAGTGGCCTTTCAGGCATCCTATTTGTGGTAACATACCACCCAGCTATGGTTTCCTGGGTTGTCACTTTACGTGAAGGAAAACAGGTGACCCATGTCCTCAGGAAGAACACACGGGCATTGGACATGAGTGCACTCTGTCCGCCCACTCTCACGGCTGCTCACGGCTGTGACTGTGGACGTGTGCTGTCTGTCCACGCACTCTCAGGGCTGCTCACGTCTGTGACTGTGGACGTGTGCTGTCTGTCCACGCACTCTCACGGCCCACTGGACTCTGTAACTGAACAGACACGTGTGGCAGCCTTACCGGTCCTCGACCGCGGTAGCACCGAGCAGAATCAGGTCCTTCTCGATCTGCTCATAGGCTTCTGCTAACTTCTTCTCCCGATCTTGAAGAGCCACCTTGGCAGCCTGCAGCACTTTGCAGACACCTTCATATTCCTCTGGCTCGAGCCGCTTGTAGGCAACACACAGGGTTCGCAAACCCTCCTGTGGAACAAGAGTCAGTGTTTAATGTGAATCCAGTGTTGCTCGCTGAATGTACGCATTCTCAGGCCTTCCTCACACCCATCTCTGAAGAGAACGCCCAGCCACCCTCAAGGGATTACTGAATTACATTAAACACGGACAATCATGTACATTACAGAACTGTAACAGATGATACCTGGACCAGGCCACTACACCAGAACACAGACTTTTTTTCTTCATGTAAACAAGAAGGGTTCAATTTAAGCTTTCCAGACATAATCTGTAATGTGGTGGTAATGGTGTTTCCAAACCTGGGGGTTTGTCAGGATTTGACGGAATGAATACCAAGGACCCCTGCAAGGTTATTCACCCATAGGCTGGGTACAGGGAAACTAAACCTTACGGATGAAGGGTTCTGATGTGTGGAGAGGGCGCAATGCAGCTATCAAGGCCACGTGGCCGGCCACTACGTATCACTCCCGCCACGACACACCAAACTGTCACTGGGTGATGGCTCTTGGAGTCTCCTGCTCTTTCCTCTTAGTCTGTGATACCCACAGACTCCTCAACAAGTGTTGCAAATTCCGGATTTTGGATTTCAAAGACATTTCCTGTTACCTGTTGTCAACACTTCTCACAGCTCTTCAGACCACCTAGCTTGTGTCAATCATAGACAAGGAAGTCTCCACAGACAACATCTAGAACTGCCCAGGACGGAGGGTGCTGGGCGTGGTGAACCAGGCTTTTAGAAATGAACAGGCCTTGGCTTGCAACGGCAGACAGGGGACTTTCTACTGTGGTGACGTGAGGTGGAGGTGCTTTTCCCCAAGCCTCTTGCTAAGCATGACGAAAGTCCTGTGTGAAACACTTCCAGGCTGAACAAAAGACAGTCACGCCTGGAGACCACTGTAGAGCCCCGCCCTCACAAACACACACAGTCATCCCGAGAGCACCCTAGCAAACTGAATCCAACGGCTCCCCAAGAACTGCTGCTGTGTGACTGAATGGGACTCCTCCCCGGAGGCCAGGCTGATCCAGCCTAGGAAATGGGCTACTGTAACACGTGATGATCTGAACGGACACCGCAGGAGCAACACAGAGCTGTGCGGCTCACAGTGGTCCCCGAGAACTGCTCCAGGGCCAGCAGGGGGCAGGGAATCTCTCACCCCTGCACTTCTGCGGGACATAGCTCAGCACCACAAATTCCATCGGAGCAGTTTGGTGAGGGGGGGGGGCACCGAACCAGAAGGAATGCCTTTCTGAAGACTGCACGTGCGGACGACCCGCGCCTACGCGCAGAAAGTCAGGAAGAAATCCCAGGGCTGCTACCCGAGCGCAGCCACAGCACGGCGGTGACAGTGGCACAGGCATGCCAGCCGCATCTCACGCACACCCAACACTCGCCTTGGGAAGGAAGTCAAGGAAACATCCCTACCCATAATTCTATCAGTAGGAAACCCCGTGTTTACTCCTGGAGGAAAAAGACTCACAGACTGCACACTACGAACACTGATGAACCCACAGACAATCCAACAGCAGAGATCGGCTGTTTCCACGGAGTGGAAGGTCTCATGTTGTCAAGGTGACAACATCACTCCAAGCCATTTGGAGTCTTGTGACTCCAAATGTGGCTCCCGATGGTGATCTCTGCAGGAACTCATAGGGAATGTCAAGGTACTTAGAAGAGCATGAGGATTTTAGATAAGAATAAAGTGGGGCGTGCATACACTCTGGTTTCAAGACTTATTAGCACACGACAGTAAAGAAAACTGTACTGAATTGGTGTGTGTGTGTGTATGTGTGTGTGTGTGTGTGTGTAGAGAGAGAGAGACAGAGACAGAGACAGAGCGAGACAGAGAGGGAGAGTAGGACAGAACTGAGGCCCAGAAACAAACCCTGAACATCTGGCTAGATGGTTTATCACGAAGAACAAGGTCACTCAACAGGGATAAAACCGTCCCTTCAACAATGATGCTCAAAAAATGACACCACTTAAAAAATAAGACAGTCTCCTTCACTATCACCACACATAAATTAGGTCAATGTCTTAAATTTAAAGGCTAAAAGTATAAATTACTTAGAAAAATACAGGGTAAAGTCTTCATAATCTTGTATTTGGCAGCAATATCTTAATTATGATACTCAAAACAGGCAATTGACGAAGAGATGGATGACTGGATTTGAAGGGAACCATGGTCCTCTCAGCATTACCTACCGCGGTTTTTACTCGTGGAAGGCTTTAATTGTTTAAAAATACTGTTATGAATGTGGGGCCCACAGGTTCCTCAGTTCACTCCTGAACAACTGCTGGGCTGGGGCGTGGGTTGGGGAACCAGGGAGAAGTGTGAATTACCTGGGCTGTAGGGTGGATCCAACTATTCCAGGATATATGTAAGGGATGCTATCCTGGTTGTTTTTTGTCAACCTGACACAACCTAGATCTATTGGGAAAAGGGAATCTTAATTGATAAAATGATGGGGCATTTTCTCAACTAGTGACTGATGTGTGAATTCTTGGCCAATTGTGGGTGATGCCAACCTTGGACAGGTGGCCCTGAGGTACATACGAAAGCAGCTGAGCAAGCCGATAAGTAACGTTCTTCCATGGTCCCTGCTTCAGTTCCTGCCTTCATGATGGACTGTGATCGGGACAATGTAAGCAGAAATGAACCCTTTCCTTCCCAGGTTGTTTTGGTCGAAGTGTTTTACCACAATGTCTTACTTAGGCTTTCTGTTGCTGCGATGAAACACCATGACCATAAAGCAAGCTGGTGTGGCCTGCTTACAGTGTCAGAGGTTCAGTCCATTATCATCACGACAGGGAGCATGGTGGTGTGCAGGCAGACATGGTGCTGGAGTAGCAGCCGAGAGTCCTACATCTTGTAGGCAACAGGAAATGGTCTGAAACACTGGGCGGTATCCTGAGCATAGGAAACCTCAAAGCCCACCCCTACAGTGACACACTTCCTCCAACAAGGCCATATCTACTCCGTCAAAGCTACACCTCCTAACAGTGCCACTCCCTATGATATTATGTGGGCCAATTACATTCAAACTACCACACACAACAGACATCCTAACTAAGACCCTGCAACAACCAATGGCCCTGAAGCAGCTGGAAGAGAACAATGGATGGACAGGCCCAGAGGCCAGGCACAAGCCATCAGGAAGCTACAGAGGACAGCACATTCTCAGCATCCCCAAAGGTACCAGGCAGAGCAATTGCAAATCCACCAAACAACCTGAAGCCACAGCTTGAAGGAAGACGCTGTTTCTGAGGAAATTGACCACTTCTCTGAACAAAATTCTGGAACTGCAGGAATGAGAAAGATCCAGCAGCCCATAAGGAAAAGTTTGCAGTTGTGACCTGCCTGCAGGATGGAGTCCACACCTACAGAGGGATCAACCAGCCGGCCACGGCGGACCAAGTAACGAGGCTGGTGGAGCGGGACACACGTCATTAAAAATGCATTACTGAAAAATTTCCAACCTTGGCAAAAGCCTGCAGACCACACTTCAGACAGACAGACTTCTCCCAAACAGAAAAAGTATGAGAATTACTGCACAGACTCACCACAACCAGAAACCATCCATGGAAAGCAGCAAAGAAAAAAGCTGAGTACAGATAGCAAACATAGCCATTGCGTGGAGTTCCCAAGAAAAGGGATGTCTAAACAAGGAGCCCAGTCCACATTGTGTTCAGTCTCAAACGTCCATCAAAAGGTGAACGAATGACTGGGCTGGGTCTCAGCACAGATGGGTTGCTCAGTGAGAAAAGGACACCACGCTGTAACAGACACGTGTGGCTGAATCTCAGAGCAGTTCCGTGTTCTCAGAGAAGCCCGGTAAGACAACTGACGGAGTCTACTCTAAGAACACTCCACAAGGGAAGAAGTCCTCCCCAGCGCTGGCAGAGAGTGGTGGCCGATGAGAGAGCTGCCGGGAGGGGAACACAGAGGCTCTGAGGACACTGTGGGGCAATGCTTTAGAAGTGTCCATCAAAACTCACCTATCTTTATCTTTAATATGAACATGTTAACATTTATTGACTATAGCTCGATAAGCCTTTACTGTAACCATAATTAATACACTACTTCCCATAAGGAAAATGAGTCTCAGGTGGGAGAGAACCCTCCAGAACAATGACTGTCCGTGTGCTCCCTATCACAAAGGGTGTCTCCAGTGACCCTTGGCAGAAGGGGCCAGGATCCCCGATGTGCCCACATGAAAGTTAACACCAGGGCTTCAGGAAGTTTGTCCTCGTCAGTTCCGTGCGCCAGCACACGCCTTCTGCAGCACCAGATGGGGACTTGGTCTGAAGGAATGTGACGGCGCTGTATCCAGAATGTTTATCTAGACAGCCTTTACAGACTGCAGCAGAAAGCCGTCTAATTTCAGGCATGGGGTCCCTCTGACTCCTCAGTCCTGGGAGGAAGAGCTCAGAGCATGTGAGCTGTCTCTGCAGGAGAACAGTTACCGCACAAGTGAAAAAATGACCTCTCGTTATCGGTCGGCAGCAGACAGGAAAGCGAAGTGGCCTCTAATATCAGAAAGCACTGTGGCTGAACCAAGAGTCTGCAGGAGGGAGAGGGGACAGAAAGGGCCGGCATCTTACCACTGCATTGCGCTCGACTCTGGACCGGACCTGGTCAACTTTGCCTTCTATCACTCGGGGAAATATTGAAGAATCTGCTCCTTTGCAAAACAGAAAGATTTCTCCTAGAAGATGAGGGGGAAACAATATTGAATTTAATTACTACATGGAGAGATAAATTTACTTTTCAGTCTGTTATTAATGAAAGCAAGTGACACCAGTAGGGAGACCACTTAAAAGTACATCTTAAAGGACCAGTGAACACATTAAGATCTGAAAGAAGTGCAATCCACGAACTATGCCAGAGCCCCATTTTATCCTATAACCTGGCTATGGTGGTATTTTATTTGTACTGAAATGTGATTTTCATTGTATGTTAATAAATAAAGTTGCCCGGGGGTCAGAGCTATTAGAGCCATAGCAAGAGCGTGGTGGTGGTGGGGCACGCCTTTAATCCCAGCACCAACGAGAAGGCAGAACAGAAAGACTATTTAAAGACAGACACACAGGAAGTAGCTCTCTTTTGGGAAGCTAGGAGCACTGCAGGAGGTTAGATTTTAGCTCTGAGCTCTGACCTCTCGGCTTTCTCCTTTACATTGGTTCTGTGTTTCTTATTTTAATAAGACGGTTGGTTACATCTACACCTGGCGCTCTAAAGAGTTCTGAGCCATGAACAATGAGGGCCCTGGGTGCTCACACTCCTTTGAGGAGTAAATCCTCCTTGGGACTGGGGTTGGGGAGGCAGGGTGAGCAGAACAGAACAGAACAAAGGGTGTGCTGCAGATCCAAAAGGAGTGTTCGAATTTCATGAAATACCAGAAGGCGAGTGTGTCAATTCCTCCCAAAAGTGGGTCCTCCATGGACAGGCCATCCTTTGTGTCACAAAGCCTCATGGGAAACTCTCTCCCACATCTCTAGTTTGTCCTCAGAACTCTGAGTACCTTTGTGCCAACTACACACGCTCCTTTTCTCAGCATGAAAGAATCTTCTCCTTCCAGGTAAGAGACACTAACAGACGGCAAAGAAGTAGCCACGGTTTAGAGAACCCAGCTCTGATGCAACTCAGCCCAGCAGCTCTGTAGTCAACCTCAGCCAGACCCTCAACTGCCCTCCTCTGTGAAGCACGCTGTCTGCGGCCCTCACAGCACCCTGCTCAGCAGCAATGCAATCTCAGGCCTGCGGTGCTATGCCAACAGAGCATTTGGGTGTAGTTATAGAAACATCAAAGAGAGCCTGGTGTGGTGGCACACGCCTTTCATCCCAGCAGGCAGAGACAGGCGGGTCCCTAAGTTTGAGGCCAGTCTTGTCTACAGAGTGAGTTCCAAGACAGCCTGGAATATACAGAGAAACCCTGTCTCAAAAAAATCAACAACAACAACAACAATAACAATTAAAAAGAGAGAGAGAGAGAGAGACATTGACTTCCCAGTGGCAGCAGGGCTACAGAAGGGAAGTGACGTGGATTATGTTCCCAGGAAGGTGGGACACACAGATTCCTGTAGGACAGGCGAGTATGAGGAGAGTAAATCCAGAGGGCTCAGAGGCCGGTGGTGACCGGTTACTCAACTGTCCAGGGTGGGAGGAATGGGGGGTACACTTCCAGTCTGAGGGTGGGATCAAATCCCAGGGCCGAGCTATTTGGGGCACCCACTTGACCTATTTCCAAACTGTAGGAACTATTAATGTGGGGTGCATAAATTGGGAAAACATTGGTAAAAGAGACGTGACTGTTGTTCAGTCAGTGTCCCCTGAAAGATGCAGAAGAGTGATGGGACTTCCCAGGAGGGACAGGCCACACCAGGCAGGGGGAGTACTAGGCAGCTCCCAGTGTGGATGCTGTGGATTCTTGGGGGCATCCAGGAAGGCATTCCAGGGCCTCAGTGAGGGACCTGTAGAGGGGCTGCCACTTCACACCATGATCCAGGAAGGAGAAACACAGCTGGACAAGCAGCCTCCGGGTGGCGAGGAGATGAGAACGCGACCTGGGGATGCGCCCACAGAAAGTGCTGGTCAACGGCCAGGAGACCAGTAACCAACAGAACCTCAACACCAGAGCTATGTGGCTGTAAGCAGAGTCCTGTGAGTGCTGGGGGGCATCCGGCCCAATGTGAGGGCAGGGAGAGAATGAGGCGCATATCTCCCTTTGTGGGGATTCCTCTGGAGAGGGTGACAAGGGACTAACTCATAAGGCCTTCTAGACGAGATGCTGACAGAGAAGGACAGCCGCAGAGCTACATGGGGGGGGGGGGGAGGCGAGCGCCAACCCACATGGAGATCACACGGCGGGGCAAACAGAACCACCTGGTCAAGGGGTCCCACTGCACCCACTCCCTCACCATCCCACACTTTAGCCACAAACCAGAAAGTGCCACTCCCAAATAAAGAGCCATCGTCATAGCAACCAGCCAGCCTGGAAATCCACTGCAATGAGTATTCTGAATTCTAGTACAGAAATATCTACACACTCCCATGTCCTTAAATACGGTGCTTTAGATGTGTGTGGAGCACAGCAGTAGGACATTCACAGAGGAGATGAGTGTCTGCAGGAGGCTTGGATAGTACTCACTTCTTTCCAAAGCTGTTACTGTAGACGAGTTTACCTGTGCCTTTACAAATGCAGTAAATGGAGAGGGGGGAGACAGCTCAGGTGGTAAAGAATCTGCCTTGCGAGAATGATGGCCTGGGTTCAATCCCCAGAGCCCATGTGAAAAAAGCGAGGCACAGAAGCACGCATTGGGAGTGTCAGTGCTGGGGAGGCAGGACAGGGGACTTCTAGCCAGGCAGTCTGTCCTACTCAGTGAGATCCAGGCCAGTGAGAGACCCTAAGATCAAACAGAGGAGGGGACACTACCTGAAGTGTGACACCTAGGGCCTACACACTCTCGAATGTACACACACGAATGTGGAATAGTTCTTATGTCCCAAACCCTTAAAGATCCGAAAGAATTATCCATCAGAAGAAAACCACCATGTAACATCAGGAGAAACCTTACCTGTAGTAGATTTTACAATCACACTCATTCTTCTCCGCACAGAGTCAAAACTCAGAACTTCTAGCAATTCAAATCTGAAACAGAAAGGGGGCACCTATTATATTCTCTGCTGCCAAGTGGGTGCTGAGTCTGAGTGATTGCCAAAGGATTGCCACAGCAGGAAGTGGGCATCTCACCTCTCCCTGTGCCCTGTCCACACTGTGTGGATGCCCCCTTGGATGTCCTGGGCCTCACAGGATGCCCAGCTCCAGCCTTGTGTGGGGATCAGTATTTAAGAGTGGGGACGGGTCAGTCCAGGCTCTGACTCCTCCCAAAAGAGTCATAATGTCTATGTCTCAGTTGGAATATCGGAAGAGCCTGCAACTCTCACGCCAAGTCTGAAAACCTCTCCCGGAGGCCTGCCGGGGCTCCGGGGCTGGAGCTGCCTTGAGTTCAGGGCCCGGCTCGGACAGGACCTCTGCAGGCCTGCAGGGTGTCTGCAGGGTGTCTGCAGGGTGCAGCCCTGCCTCTCACACAGTCCTGGGCATCTCACTGCAACAAGTGGACGCAGTCCTTTCCCAGTGACACAACTGCATGCAGGAGCTCCTCACCTCTCGATGTCATTCTCCCTGTTCAGGATTTCCATGTAATTGTCCTTCAGTCTCAGGTACGTGAAACCAAGCCTGCGGAGGGAGAGGCCAGAGCAGAGCTGAGTCTGGGGTCCAGACAGGCCTCTTCCGGGGAGCCCTCGCTTTACAGAGGCAGCCTTCCTTGAGAGGAAGCACTTTCAGTAAGCTAGGGAGTTGGGTGCAGTATAAAGCCAGGGCACAGGGATTCGGACTTATGGACCACCTTAGAAATGACCCAAGAGTTTGCATGCCTACAGTGAGGAGGTGCACTCTGTGGATGGGGGGGGGGGCTTGTGGAAAGCCAGCACCAGGTGTCTGGGCTGCACGTCTTGCTTCCAACCACGTTTCACTAACTGATTAGTGGGCTTCAGGAGAAAGAAAAGCTTCAGAGGCTATCTGCCACAGGATGAGCAGTCACCAAAGTCCCTGGGCTGGAAACTGAACCCTAGTGCAAGTGTCAAGAGTAGCTGGCCAGGGAGACTTGGCCCCTCATGAAATGAATACTTAGGCCACTGCAGGAGAGGGCTCCTCAGACACAGAATAATTGTGTTCTCTGTCTTCTCTGCATACTGCCACCATTCTGGGCACAGCGAGAAACCCTCTGAGATGCTGCTGCCTTGACCCTGGGCCTCCCAGCCCCAAACTGTGAGAAACACACTCTAGGTTTGTTTTGTTTCTGATATAAATTATGCAGCCCCCGGTCAACCTAGTTATCAGACAGGACGCAGGCCCACGGTGGCTGTCTGCAATGTTATTACCCCACCGCCCTCTGCTGCAGAGACAAACACCTCCAGCCACGGGGCAGCTTCCGGACAGTGCAGAGGGTCTGGCTGAGCAGCTTACCAAAAGCTGGGACAGAACACACCGCCCATCCAGCACCAGCTGGATGTCACAGCAGGCAGGTGCTGGGCATATGGGTGATATCAGCCACCTGCTCCAGGGGGAGCTGGCTCAGCTGAGACAAAGACCCCTGGGAAGAGAAGAGCTACAGGGATGGTTGAACAGCCTGACCTGACTTTCCTATATCTACAGCAGCCATGGCTTCACCCCATAAACCAATGGTTCTCAACCTTCCTAATACAGTTCTTCATGTTGTAGTGACCCGCCCCCCAACCATAAAATGATCTCATTGCTACTTCGTAACTATAATTTTGCCACTGTGATGAATCATAATGTAAATATCTGGGATGCAGGATGTCTGATATGTGACCCCCAAAGGGGTTACAACCCACAGGTTGAGAACCACGGCTATAAATGCTCCTACACATAGCCTCAAGAGTTTTTTGTTTTGTTTTGTTTTGTGTGTATGTATGTATTGGAGCGGTTTTCTGGATGTCTGTGTAACATGCCACATCTCCCACAGCAGAAAGAACTCCAGGAAGACCCCTGGTCGGTGTAAACATCCCAGATGGAAAGAACCAACACAAAGAAAGCAGTGATGAGCAGAGCCTGGCATCCAGCTGCTAACTCTCTGGATCAGTTGACTAACTCTCTGGGTCAGGTGACTAGCTCTCCAGGTCAGGTGACTAGCTCTCTGGGTCAGGTGACAGAGAGAGCTGCAGAGTTGGCCTTGGTGTCTTAGGATCCAAGGGAAGACCTGGGGACAGGGCTCTGTCTAGACAGCTTTAAGCACTGAAAACACAGCAACAAGGGCTTGTGTTGCTGGCCAGGAAAGCCACCTCCACAGAGTGCAAGGGACATGAGGTCACAGAGGTCAGAGTACAGTTTTTCTGGGTCGTAGACCCTTCACCCCAACACTCTCTGAGCCCGGGTCTGACTCACCTCTGCACACCTTCAACCAGAGCGACCTCATCAGGCGAGGATGAGATGTACACACAGGACTTGGAGTCGGGAGATTTCCGCGGACCGTCTACGTCATCCCCATGATCGTCATCCTTCACCTGGACGGTGTGGCACAGGCAGATAGCCCTGAAAAACAGCTCCTCCCGTTCCTGTGGAGACAGTCAGGGCAACTCTAACACCTCTGCCTGCTGTGGGAAGAACGTGAGAGAGACTGGACAGGTCTGCAAAGCAGAGGCTAAGACCTCCCGGGGGTGAGCTGTCATTAGCCTGTCTCCGTGGTTACAAAGAGAAGCACGTGTGTGACTCCTTCATGCTCCAGAGTTGCCATGGCAACTTGTGTAAGTATTAATAGGCAGTGAAGACCAAAAGAAGGGGTTTTGCTCATCGCGACACTTCTAGGAACCAGGAGGGCGTGGATATAAGCACTCTCAGGAATGGCATGTCATGGTGGGAAAATGTCACCTACGTAGTTGGCACACTCGTTCCTGGCCACAGTGGCAGTCTGCCTGGCAAAGGACACCGCCCTCGGCATGACTTAACCTCCAGCAGTGTGCCTGCAGCCTGCGGCTCAATCACAACACAGCCCTGGACGCAGAAGCTAGGAGCCCCACGCTGAGCTGAAGAGCTGTGCATGAGGTCACGGCAGGCGGACCCAGGTCTGAGCTCGGCTTCCGCAGTGCTGGCTACACCCTGCAGTCAGAGTTCAAAGGTCCCTGAGGTCCTCAGCAGCTGGACAGCGGTGACCCATGACAGGCTTCCCTGACAGTCAATGGGCTGTGGGATTTGGGGTGCGTTCAGGTCTCGGGACGGCCACCGGATCTACCCCTTCCTTTCTGTGAGAATAGGACGCCAATCGGAGCTCACTTTGTAGGAGCCAGCGTTCTGGATGTGAGCTGCTCATCTATCATCAAGAGGTCACTTCTGGCTCTCAGTGGAGCCCTCAGGTTCTGCAGTCATGATTTATCCCTTAGTCACCATACAACTGGTGCTGGAATTTGAACACTTAAGACCCGAGGCTACGGCACTCTGGTGTGTGCGTGTGAGCCCAAGTGTAGCATATGTATACATATCTCTATGTGCGTGTAAATACATATGTGTATGTGCCTAGGTGTCTGTATGCACATGCAGCTTTGTACACACGCAAACTGTGTATAGTCACACTATACTCAGCATACTACCGGTCCCATTTGTCCCGGTCTGTTTGGTCAATTCTATCAGAGGAATCACTGTCAGGTCCTCCTGTCCCACGGTAGATTCTAACCATGGCCTCACTGAAGTCCTACAAAGGATTCCTGACTTGGCTGTATTGCTCAGATGAAGGGGGCAGCTTCTGTGAGTGAGAGCATCCCACCTCCTCACATCCTTGACCGTGTGGCACCTCCTCACATCCTTGACCATGTGGCACCTCCTCACATCCTTGACCGTGTGGCACCTCCTCACATCCTTGACCATGTGGCACAGCACACCCTCCCCCGAGGAGCTGAAACCTACCCTTCCGCTGACACCCGGGGAGGAGTCGATCATATCGATGCCGGAAGAGTCGGGAAGGACCTGCCCGTTGCAGATGACATGGGGGACGTAGACCTGGCCTTCGATGCAGCACTCCTTGAAGGCCATGTTGTTCTCTGTGAGGGTGCCCGTCTTGTCTGTGAAGATGTACTCCACCTGAGGGTACCCCACACTCAGGTCAAGCCATATTTAGGCAGGTGACAATTCTTAGCCCACGCCTGTTACAATCCTAGTGGGACAGGATTCTGAGAGTCTGTCCAGACAGCTCCAGTGTCACGCGAGGGTGCCCATGGCACCCTCCTTTACCCACACAGGCGCAATTTCGGGGGAGGAGGCCCTACCCTCCTCACCCTGGTGACAAATAGGAAGCAGAATACAATGTGGCCTTGCAGAACTGGGCCTCCAGGGAACCAGGGCTCCACGTGTCTGTGAAGAGCAGGATGAGGGAAGCCCTGCCTCTCCTTAATCAGGACAGCACGGATGAGAGGAGGAAGAACCTTCTCTACGAGCCCGAGAGGTCGAGGCTCCAGGCTGAGGAGAGGGTTAGAAGACAGAATGCACACAAGGAGAAGGGCAAAGACACTCCAGGAAGAAAGCACAGAGTGCCGAGGATGCCTCCCTCCAGCCTTCAACTGTGACCGAAAGTGGACCACAGGCTACACACCCATCACGGACAGCTGAGCCTCCAGGCCCTTGCACAGCTCTGGAGTAGGTGGAATCAAGCACACTGGGGGTCGGGGTGGGGTGCAGAGGGAGAGTCAGACCATGCACCCCACAAGGGTCTAGCCCAGGAACATGTTTCACAAACCCCAGGAGATGTGCCCTTCACCTGTGCTTGTCCGTAACAAACCAACCACACGCACAGAGCAATGCTGTTTAAACACCAGCCAAAGCCCGTGGGGCCTCTTCCAGGGTCACCCATCCAGGGAAGGTGTGCTGGCTACATCCCTAAGGACCCAGCAGGTGGCCAATTTCTGTGACTATGATAACAATTTAAAAAATTACAATGGACATTTATTAGTTCTTAGTGTATGCCAGGCACTGGACATTACCTTGGTTGATCTTCCTATCAACTATGCTATGCAGTTTTATGAACAAAGGTTTAAAATTTTTAAGATAAAAAAAAGTTGCCAGGTGGCGGTGGCGCGCTGGGGATGGCACACACCTTTAATCCCAGCACTCAGGAGGCAGAGGCAGGCGGATCTCTGTGAATAACTACAGAGCTAGTTCTAGGACAGCCAGCGCTGTTATACAGAGAAACCCTCTCTTGAAAAACAAAAACAACAAAACAAAATTATGTGTATGTATGGGTGTCTGTGTAAGGGTGTGCACACATGAGATCAGGTGCCTGTGGAAGCCAGAAGAGTATGTTGGATCTCTGGGAGCTGGAATTACAAGTGGCTGTACGCTGCCCTTCATGGGTACTGGTAACCAAACTCTGGGCTCCTCCAAGAGCAGTAAGGGCTCTTAACTGCCGAGCCATTTCTCCAGCCAAAATTCCTGATGCTAATCCAACTATTTCTGTTGGCTGGAGACGCCAAGGAAACATGGTTATCACTATTTTAGACAGGTCTGTGAGTCTTTCACCCAGGAGTCTGACATTAATGTTGGACTCCGATTTTATGTGTTTGCGCTCACACCCTTCAACTTTACTGAATTTACTAGTTCTAATAGTTTCTTGTTGGTCTTCAGGGTTTTATACAGTTGTCTGCAAACAGGGACAATTTAACTTTCTTCTTCTCTCCTGCAGCCCCTTACTGAGTAGGTGGGGAAGAGCAGGAGTCCTCTGCTGCTCCTGGTCTACCTGTCAAACTTAGAGGACGTTTGACATTCCTCCACGGAGTGTGACGCTGGCTATGGGCTGCTACACATGGTCTGTGTTGTGTTAGGATATGCCTTCATTCCCTCACTTGCCATGAAACTGTCTACATCCTCTGTGTCTGTGGATAGTTGTCTGGCTTGTACGTTCCTGCAACGTGGTGTGACACTGTCTACCTAACGATCTGTGTGTGCTGGCCCACCCTGGCATGCCAGGGATGAGCCCCACTGGATCGTGGCAAGTGCTCACTCTGGAGCTGCTGCTAGTTTGTGCCTGTGCCCTCAAGGACGCTGGTGATCAAAGGCATGAGCCCCGCTAGGCAGTCACAGGCAGGGACTGCAGTCAGAGGCGATGCGTCTTTCATGACAGCAGTGGTTCCACACCTGACTCCTATGACAGCTGGGAAAGCTTTCCAGCCTCGGTTCCTCCTGCACATGACATGGATGTGAGAGCTGACATCACAGGGATAGGAGGGTCACAGGAAAATGCACGAAGCCCCAGACACAGACACTGGCTGGAGGGTAGTTCCTGTCTCACAGGCACAACTGCCATGTTGCTCCACTGTGTAGACTGAGAGGCATTGCTCACCGACATTCATGGGGCACTGCTTTGTGGAGTCACCAATTGGTCTTATCCTCAGTGGCCCAGTTCATTGAATACAGGCTGTAGCCTGCCTTGCTTAGGACAGGACAGAGTTGAGTTCTGTGAGGGACTCTAGGTTGGGAGAGCCATCTTGTCCCAGGGCATCCCCTGACATTCCCTTAACCGATTTCTGAAGGCCAGACCACATGCGTTACCCAGGAGGTGGGGCCTGAAATACCCTGGAGGAACGCATCAGAAAGACGTCCTCTTAGGTAACAAATGTATTATTCCCCAAGGTAGGTGGGGTCATGCGCCTGTCAGTCTACAGACCGTTTACATGGTATTGCTATGAAACCACAGGGCAGGCTGTAGTTTCCGATTCAAATGAATTATTCATTTAATGAATTGCCATTTGCCAAATGGCCCTTCCAGTGACATAAGGCTGGGAAAGGTCAGAGGCTCCCCTTGGGGCTGGGTGAGATGGAAGGAGCCTTTCGGGGTATCCTTTTCCATGTAGCAACACTGAGGTCTGCAGTCAGCAGATGTGGGTGCATGTCTCCTACTCTGTGGGACCCTGGTGGTCTCATACAGAACACAGGGCAACAGCCGTGGTGTGCACCAGCCCTGTCCTCACAAGGCGAAGCCCCTGATGGCTATCACAGATGCTGTGACTGCTGCCTCACATCTGTTATCCCACTCTGCAACACTGGAAAGGCAGAACTCTGATACTCATTCAGAGTACAGACCATGACACTCGAATCCTGAGCTACAGGAACTCTGGTTCTGCAAACCATGCATTCATTAACTCTGCAACACACTGCCCCAGAAAGCTGCCCTAAGTCTCAGTTTGCTCGCCTAGCTTGCTCTGAGGTTAAATGTCACACAGAAATAAAAAAAGCGATGCCTGACAGAAAGTGCTAGGACCGTGGCCTCCCACCGCGCTCAATGCTCTTTCAACTACAAGGCCCAGAATAAATAAGAAAGCAAGCCCAGGGTTTGAGCTCACTCCAATCAGCTAACGCAATCAACTTTTCACGTTATAAAGTTAAAAGAACCATACTGACTGTATTATATAAGTCAAGTTAAAAAAGACGCACCCAGGAGACTCAAAAAGACTGTGAGTGTCTTTCCGCTGCTGCCCTCACTTCTGACTTTCCCCCACTGCAGCATAGCTACACGCCGAGTGCATGACCTGGACGAGTTACCGCTAATCGAGGAGCGCCCAGACCGCTGAGGAGTCATGCAGTCTCTAGAGACACTGACCTGTCCCAGCTCCTCGTTCAGATCGGAGGTGTTGACCAGAGGCCCTTCCCCCATCTCCTCATCGAACATGTCTTCGTCCCAGGTGATGAAGTAGGAACCGAGGAACTTCTGCATCTCCACTGTGACGTACATGGACACCGGGATGATGTAATTGAAGAGGACCATGAAGGCCAGGAAGTCGGTGAAGGCCCTGAGGAACTGAGAGCATTGGCCGCATAAGGAAGCTGCAGGTCACATGGCAAGGACAGGAAGCCTCAGATTGCCATCTCTTACCCCAGTCAGATACGTCAACACAAGTACTTCCACCCAAATACAGAGATCCACTAGGGACCATTGCCTGCCATGTCTTGTTAAGACCCAGAGTAGAATCAGATGGCTGTGCTGGTGGAGACGTGGGGGACAGGGACAGAGCTCACACTAACCACGCCGTCAGGATGTGGAGAGGCCATGCTAAGTAGGGCCCAATGGGAACGCCACTTTTGAGTATTCATGATGTCCCTCTGTGCCTAACAATCCCCAAACTTAGGACGAGATGGGACCTTGCTATACAGTGGCTTTCTCTTCAAACTCACGATTCCTGTCTCAGCCTAGTGCTGGGATTACAGGCACGCACCGCCACACTCAGCTCTGAATGACTGCTCTGTACAGTTTATTCCTACCTTTGAAGCTATCAGGGAGAGGCTATCTGACAGATGGAGCCCAGCATCATGCAGGGTCTGTGCTTGTACACAGGGCGACATCTGCACACAGCCCTGATGTGACATCAGTGTGCACATGGCCCTGCTCTGAGGTCAGAGCCTTTTGTCCCCTAGTTACCACAAAAAGCAGCGTTTATCTCAGTGATGTGTTGAGCTTTGGAAACATCAAAATGATTTTGGTCCCTACATTTCCTGTGGAAACAAATACTTTCCAGGCTTGTACATTCTAGTGTCCAGGGACAGCAGGCAGCTCATACCTGCCCACACCATGTGCCAGTGATGGCCTCTGTCCTAAAATCAGGCGAGGCTCCATTCTGCCTGAAGCTAATTCACCTTTGTAGTTTCTTGGCACCATCGTTTTTTGTGACAACGGCCCCAGGTCACCTCCCTCACACAAGGGAAGTGCTTCCATACCAGATTCCTCTGGCGCTCTGACTCAGTCTTCTGGTTGTACCATGGCTCATCTCGGAAGGGCTCGCTCTGCCACACGTACTTCAGCACCGTGTTGATCAGGGCCTTGCTCACCAGGATGCAGAGGTACACGATCAGAAATGTATTCATTGACCTACAGCGAAACAGCCCAGCCTTCAGAGGCTGCTCCTGGTCCTTCCTCACCACGAAGGGACAGCACAGGACACCCAGCAATGCCCTGGAGGGCAGTGTCCAGCCTGGCCCAGTAAGACTCAGCTCATTCACAGCCACCTTTGCTAATGCTCAGGACACAGGACCAGAGCCATAAGAGGAGAGGGAAAGGTACATGCTGCCATGTGTTCACTGATGAACCTCTTTGGACCATGGGAACTCCTGCTTACAGAAAAGGGACAGCTGGAGTCAGCTTCGTCGGCCATCAGGTGCCACCAAATGAGCTGAGAGCTTAGTGATTCTCACTCTAGAGTGAGAGAAGCGCGTGAGGCTAGAAAATGCCTGTGCTGAATCACGAGGAGGCGGATTTGGGGCAGGTCTGCTTCTGAAGCCCAAGTGTCACACAGATGTCTGCAAGCAGAGCTTCCCAGCTGAGGAAAGGCCCACCCCCATTTTCACGCTCAACACAGCCGCAGAAGGCCCAGGGACGGCACCCCAGGTCACCTGCCAGCGTCCTGCACACGGTAACTAACTAGCTCCCGTTGCTTCACTCTGTGACATGGAGGCCGTCCACATCAAGCAGGATAACTCCGACAAGGGGCCGAGATGACAAAGCCTCAGACTCCACGTTCTCATAAGTCTACCCCCCATCCTGACACTTGTCAGTGGTTCCCTGTCTAGTGGAAAATATTCACTCTGCTCAGTGACCTCCGTAAAACCACATCAGGGCACACTTGGTTCCTCTCAAGTCCCTGGGTTGGAAGGGGCTGAATATGACCCCCATTGTGAGGTTTGCCTGGATCAGTGGCTGGGGATACGAGGCATCTGTGACTGACCCCAGATCAGGACTTTGGGGAATGACTTACAGGCAGTGTGTTAGCAGAGAGAGGGGTGCAGTCATTTATCTCACCGAGAGGAAAGCAAGGAAATCCCCCGAGGAAAAGGCTCTGTGGTTAGTAGCTCCAGTCCCTGGAGGAGTGGGCCCCCAAGGACACTGTGGGTCCCCCAAGGATGCTGTGGGCCCCCGAGGACACTGTGGGTCCCCCAAGGATGCTGTGGGCCCCCCGAGGACACTGTGGGTCCCCCGAGGACACTGTGGGTCCCCCGAGGATGCTGTGGGTCCCCTGAGGACACTGTGGGTCCCCTGAGGATGCTGTGGGCCCCTGAGGAAACTGTGGGTCCCCTGAGGATGCTGTGGGCCC